CCTCACCCTCTCTATATCTTTCTGACCCCTGAGTGCCTCATCAGTCCCTGGGGGCTTTCGCATCTCTGCTCTGCTTCCTCCTTTCTTGGTGTCTCCACTTGGTGGTTTTTGACCTGATCTCTAACAACCCAGCCTCAGTTTCCCTCTACCTCCATTGCCTCAGGAAGCCCCAGCCTTTGGGTCCCCTTTTGGTCACCTCTCTCTTGGTGTCAAATCTCCCTTAAAGGCTCTCTGCAGGTGTGTTGCTGCTACTGCAGGCCAGGAGTGGCCCGTGTGGGCACCACGACAGGGTGGCCTGGGGCAGGGAGGCCCTAGTGCCCGGGGTGCCAGCCACCTGCCAGCCAAGGCGCTGGCTCCAAGCTCTCTGCTGGACGTTGGATATGGGCACCCTGGGGGCATGCCTTTGTCTCTCAGAGGCTTCGTGGCTAATTAGGGAGTGGGGTGCACTGGGGATCAGCGGTCTCTATTCTCCCCTTGCCGCAGCCACCGGGCAAGCCGGGTCCCCATCTCGCTCTGCACCCAGGGTCGCCTTTGTCCTTGTGGGTGGAGGCGCCCTGGGATCCCGCGCCCTTCCGCGGGAGGAAGGAGAAATGAGGGACTAAAGGTCTCTCCCGCAAGGAGACAACGTCCTGGACCACGCGGGGATGAGAACCAAAGAGCCGCGGAGCGCGCGGGAGCCACGTGGGTGGAGGCTGCGGAGAGAGTGCCAGAGCCGAGCGGGGCTGGAGAAGAGAACTGAGGACGCGACGGTGGGCGCGGGAGCTACAAGGCCCGCTCCGCCCTGGGGCGAGGGCTTGGGGAGGGTGGGGTCCCGGGCGGTGCGGCCACATTCTTCGCCTTTCTTCTTCGGGCTCATCCCTGGCGATCGATACCTGCGCGGGCCGGGCCCCGGCCGCTAATATCTTTTTAATGAGCTCACGGGGCTTAAAGCCAGCGCGATCTGCCCTCCAGGGTGGATTTGTCCCCCGGCAGATGTTTCGGGAGGAGACGGCGCGCGAGGCCCCAGAGAGGAGGGGGACAAATCTCTGCCTCCGAGGGCGAGGGCCGGAGACTTTCTTCTAAAGTTCAAAAGAAAGGCAGGCTTTCACTCGTCCCCCAAAAATGTATTTCTCGCGGACAATGGGTTTCTTTCTACGCCTCCAAAGGCGGGGGAGGGGGGACTCGTAGGGGCGGGACCTGTGCGCTGGTCCCCGCCTGCCCGTTCGCTCCCCTGTGCCTGGTCCCCGCCGATGCCCAGGAAAATAAACGTGGTTCAGACCTGGGCACCGCGACGTCAACGAAAGCACCCTGCAGTTCGGGGCGCGAAGCCCCGGGGGCTGCTCCCCACTCTCTGAGCCCGGCTGGTGGGTTGTGGCCGGTAGAGGGTGAGAGCTGGTGTCTTCTATGGGCGTAGGATGTGTCGAGCGGCTCCAGCGCCGGGCGCAAGAACCTTCAGTCCTTGCAGCCTTCTGATCTCAAAGTGGGCTCTGGAACCCAGATGCTGCACCCCAGTGTGGAAGGCTGCAGCAAGCAACAGCCTTGTGCACTCGCAACAAGTATGGATCTTCGTGCGCCCCGGGGCCCCGCTTCGTGCTGCCCCCTCGGGTGCCCCTCTGTCCCACGCTCCTCCCTGGGGACCCCAGCCCGTGAGCTGTCGGCCTGCTGCGACCTCCCTCTCCCACTCCGCGGGCTCGAGGGGTAGGGGACGCCCGGGCGGCAGGGTGACCTCCGAAGAGCCGCAGCCGATTGATTCGTTCCGCCCGGAGCCCGGCCGCGTGAATGGGGGCCCGGGCGGCGGCGGCGCGGCGCGGGGATAAAGATGTCCTCGCCGCCCAGGGGAGGGGGCGCCGCGCGGGAAGCGGCCCATTCACTCCTGGCCCGGCCTCTCGGGAAGCCGCGCCGAAGAAAGGGGCCGAGGCCTATTCAAGCCCTACGAGCCGCCCACAATGGGCCGATATACTGGGGGCCTCTCTATTAACGCCCATGAATATTAACGAGATCGCGGAGCGGGGCCCGGGGCGCGGGGAGGGGGCGGCGCCTGAGAACTCAGCGGGCCGATGAGGGGAGGGTCTCGGGCTTGGGCACACTTCACGCCGGGCCGGCCGTAAATGGCAGGAACTCCTGGGACAAACCACGTTTCCCCTCGAAGTCTCCACCCTGGGCAGTGCAAGCTCTAGGCCTTGATCCCTAATTCCAAGGGCCCGGAGCTTGGGCGCGCGGCCAGCCTGCTCTTTCCCCACGACGCGTCCAGGTGCGAGCGCAGGGCCGCGCCCCAGCCGCGGGGCTGCTCCGGGCGCTGTGTCCGCCCCGTCCCCGGCAAGGCGCCCGCAGGTTTGCTGTCCCAAGGAAACGGATATGGTTTCCTGGCCGGATCAGAACCTTCGGTCCTTGCAGCCTTCCGACCTCAAGCTGGGCTCTGGAACCCAGATGCTGCTGCACCCCAGTGTGGAAGGCTGCACGGATCTGAGGGCTTCTTGGTAGAGTGCGGCCTGGGAATCGACATTATCCCGGGGCTTCGGGGTGTGTGTGTGTGTGTGTGTGTGTGTGTGTGTGTGACCTGTCCCAAACAGAGACGAGGTGGGAAGAAACTCAGTTCATAAAGTCCCACTGCAATCACGGCACAGAGGAGGACACTGAGGCGGGGAGAGAAAGGGGGTCCCGCGGACGCGTAGCGGTCCCCGCCCTCCGGTCTCTCAGGCGCTGAGGTCGTTTTGAGACTTGGGAACTGCGTCCGCGGCTCTGGCGCTGCTTCTCCACGAGTCCGCTCCGCCGAGGCACCTTCTCCGCTGCCCTCGGTGCCGGCAGAAGCGAAGCCCAGGCGTCGCTCCGGTTCCCGGGCCGATAGGGATGGGCCGCGCGCTCTCACTCCGAGCCGTTGAACGCGACGGCGGTGTCTCGGGCAGCGAGCGAAGATGCCGAGACCGACCTGCCGCCACGCTCCCTAGCGCTGCCCTCTGCTGGTGTCGCGCCCCACGGTCCCGCCTTCTGCCAAGCGGGCCGGCCCGAAGTGGACCTGGCTCCGAGTCTGAAGCCCCCGTGCCTGCCTGCCTGCCTCCCTGCCAGCCTGCCTGCTTTCCTTCCTTCCTTCCTTCCTTCCTTCCTTCCTTCCTTCCTTCCTTCCTTCCTTCCCTCTTTCCTTTCTCCACGTCTCCACGCTGGACTGGGAATGCCAGCCACCCTGGACACAACTGAGCTCTCAGGGCTTGGGGTCCGTGTCCTCCCGGCAATGCTTCAGGCGGGAACTGAAAGAGGTTCCTTGCCAAAGGGCCTGGTTAGGATGAAGTGTCGCTGTGGGAGCCAGATCGCTGTCCCTCCTCTCGGTCCCTGCCCGCGGAGCAGCCAGAGGAGCTCACCGTCCAGTGGAGACCCGGAAGCCCGAGCCCCCCGAGGGCGCAGAGCACCTTCCTGGCCTGAAATTGGGGCGAAGGAAGATTTTGGCAGCTCTGGGAGGGTCCCCATCCCCCTCCTCCTCCTCCTCGTGCGGAGGTGGAGGGGACGTGGGGATCGAGGCTGACCTGCGAGGCGGCCAATCCTGGAAGAAGCGGCGGCCTTCCCGCCTTGGTTCCGGGGAGGGACGGCAGCGCTGGGGCGTTCGCCGGCGCCTCGGAGCCAAGGCGGCGCGGACAGACGACTGACGGAGTGAGGTGCGAGAGGGTGGATGCAAGAGAAGAGAAGTGAAAACAGAAGGAAAGCAGGCAGGAGGCGAGGCGCAGGGCGGGCAGGCAAGACTCCCTGAGAGCGCAGTTCTCCGAGTCCCAGTCGCCTCGGGCCTGGGAGCTGCTGCCCGCCCTTTCGGGCCCCTCGCTCCGGGGCGCAGGGTTCCCACCTAGACGGGTGCATCGAGCCCTCCGCGGCTCCCGGCACCCGCTCGGCCTTTCCCGAGCAGGTGGCACTCCCGTAAGGCTTTCAGTCGGCCCTTCCCGGCCTGGCCGCCCAGGACGGGACCTGGCCGCCCACGAAGCCGCCTCCTGCGGGTCGCAGCCCGCACGGCCGCTCCCGCCCTGCCCCGCAGCTCTGGGCGCCAGGACCTAGGTGCGCCCAGCGCGTACAGCCCAGGGCGCGGCCCGTTTGAAGCGAAGCGAGGCTTGGGCAGCGCCGTCTGCGCAGATCAACGCGGCCAGGCTGCAGCGTCGAGCGCCGGAGGACCCTGGCCGCGTGGGGCGAGGACTTGGGCGAGCGCGGGGCCAGGGAGGCCGAGCGCCGGGAGGCGCCGGTGAAGGCCCGGCCGGCAGGTGCCGAGCGCGCACCGTGCCCGGGACAGGAGGTGCAGGGGCGGAGGCCAGGCGTCCCCTCGCGCCTAGTCTACTTCCCAAGTCTGGGCGAGCTGGCCTCGAGGCGGCCCTTCCCTGACGACCCCTCCCCTCCTCGCCGCGGGCTGAGCCTCCCTCCCCGCCTAGCGCTTCCCACGGGCAGAGGGGGAGGAAGGGCGGGGGTGGGAGGCGCGGAGGGGGCCGTGGCCAGAGGTCCGCGCGCCCCCGCCCCTCGCGCTCTCAGCCGAGGCTCCTCCGAGCCCGGCCTGGCCCAGCGAGTCTGTCCTCCGACGTCAGGGGGTCATTAATAACCAATTAGGAGGGTCACTGCGGCTCCTATAAAGGCGCTGAGATTTTGCCAAGGGGAAGACGGTCCCGGCTGGGTGTGCGACGGGCCGGCGCGCGTTGAGAGCCCCTCGCCTGAGTCTCGGCGGCCGCCGCCTCCCACCCACCCGCACCCCCAGTTCCCGCCTCCGTCTCCACCCGCTCCTCTGCAGCCCTCTGCGTTCCTCTGCTGCCATTTCTGCGGATTTCTGTCTCCCATCCTCTCCACCGTCTCCCCTCCTTTACTTTCCTCCCTCCCAGCCACTCCGGCTGCCGCTCCCTCCTCCTCCTCCACTACCTCCTCCTCCTCCTCCTCCTCCTTCTGCCGTCCTCCCCTCACCTCTTCCTTCTTCAGCGCAGCCTTCTCTCCTCTCTTCTCCTCTCCTCCGCTCCTCTCTTGGCCCAGCCGCGCGATCCTTCCCAGCGCCGGCGAGCCCCGGGCCGCCCATGATGGGGTCCGTGCTCCCCGCTGAGGCCCTGGTGCTCAAGACGGGGCTGAAGGCACCCGGGCTAGCGCTGGCAGAGGTCATCACCTCCGACATCCTACACAGCTTCCTGTACGGCCGATGGCGCAACGTGCTGGGCGAACAGCTCCTGGAGGACAAGAGCCACCACGCCAGCCCCAAGACGGCCTTCACCGCCGAGGTCCTGGCACAGTCCTTCTCCGGCGGTGAGTACCGCCTGCCGTCGAGACTCATCCAAACCCTACCTCCCCGCGGCCCCACTCCCAGGCCGGCCATCCGAGGGCCGCTAAGGCGGAGCAGGGCTTGGTGGCAGCCGGAACCAACGCTGCCCTTGTGCGCTTCCCTTTAGCATCCGCCATGGGTCTAAAGGAGGGTTCTGACCAGCCAAGCCAGGGCGGCACCCGGCGAGGATCGGGTCCCATTGACCCTGACTACACTGCTCGCTGCTCAGTCCCCACTGGCTCCCCACCCCACCCTCGCCCAGGCTGGCAGGTTCCCGGCATTGAACGCCTTACTAGGCGTGTAATAGCAGTTGACTGGAAAAGAAGGGGTTTTAAATTCATTTGGTTAACTTGGGCTTGACCCTCGAAAGTTCCCACTTAAACCAAGAACTTTAAAAGGCAGCAGGGGCCGGGGAGGGATGGAGGGTTGTGGGGCCAGGAGAAAAAGCCGGGCAGAGGGGGGAGAAAGAAAAGTTTCTTTTCTTATAGATGTCTCAAGTTCTTATTCCTCATTCATCAGCCCGCAAACAATATCTTTCCCTGGCGCTGGCATCTCTGCTTCGCCCTCTCTTCCCCCTTTACGAGTTCTGTTCCTCTCTTAATTTACCGTGAAGACTAATTCCACTTCCATTCACACTATGTCAACCATCTAATCCCCCCTTTTTGTAAAGGGAATTCCTCGGCCCCTTTTAAACAAGTTCCCTCCACATTGAGCTACAATTTACTGCTACAGCATTCTTCCAGGGCTAATGAATTTAGAATTAGCAATTTCTTTCGAATGGAGCCCAGTGAATGCGATCACTTTAACAGCGTGACAAATTGTCGGCCGCGCTGCAATGGACACCGTTTAACCCCCCCTTTTAGCCGGCCCACTTGCCGGGTATTTTCCCAGGTAGCTTAGAGGGGAACCTTGTAAGACAAGGAGACCGCCCCTGTGGGCCAAGCTGCTCCTACCCTGGCCGAGGGGCCCGGTAGGGGGCCCTGGGGGCGCTGCCCCCTCCCCACCAGCCTGGAGAGATGACTTGGAGCCTGCCTGGAGCAGAGGGCCCCAGGGTGCCTGGAGTCACATCAGCAGCCCTGCTTTTGCTGCCAACTGGCAAAAGTGCCCCCAAACAGGACTGGGCCAGAGTCCTGGGTTGGCTGTTACCTTCTGCAGGGACCTGGCCTCAGTTTCCCCATCTGTAAGCCCATGCGCAGCAGTGGGCTGGTTAGTTCTTACTTTTCCTAGATGGAAGGCAGAGGAGGTTGCACAGGCTTTGAGGACTCGTGGAGCGGCTGAAGAAAAGCCTGCTCTTAGAAATGAGCCCCAGTGCCAGGGATGTAGCTGGGTGACACAGCACCTGCCTGGCAAGGGCAACGTCCTGAGTTTCTGAGTTTGATTCCAGTTTCAAAAAAAGAAAGAAAGACAGAAAGCAAGCAAGCAAGCAAGCAAGCAAGCAAGCAAGCAAACAAGCAAGCAAGCAAGCAAGCGAGTCCCAGCCCACTGCTTGCTTTCAGGGGCATAGAGCGTCCTGTGCTGCATCACAGGGGACTCTGATCACCAAGCCCCTGCATGTGACCAACTCCTGGTTCCCGGGGTGTCTGCTGCGGGGTCAGTCAAGGATGGCTGGCAGCTGGCCAGGCAGCAGAGGGTGGGTGGGGCCCAGGTGGGGCGGGAAGGGCAGGGTGGCCTCTCACTGCCCAAGGGGATGATGATCTGGCTCCTGCCCTGCTGCAGAGGTGCAGAAATTGTCCAGCCTGGTGCTGCCGGTGGAAGTGATCATTGCCCAGAGCTCCATCCCTGGTGAGGGCCTTGGCATCTTCTCCAAAACATGGATCAAGGCGGGCACCGAGATGGGCCCCTTCACGGGCCGTGTCATCGCCCCTGAGCACGTGGACATCTGCAAGAACAACAACTTGATGTGGGAGGTAGGGACTCGGAGCCACCTTGAGTGTGGCCCAGCTGCTGGGGGGGGGGGGGGGGCGGGGCAGCTCCAGTTCTTGCCAGGAACTGTGGACACTCCCAGCCTCAATGTCCATAGGGCGGGACCTTAAAATGACCAATGCCACCCAGACTCAGAGCTTTCTCCCCTGAAGTGTCCTCCGCAGAGTGCTGGGCCAGGCCCTCGTAGGGGGACAGCTCACTGTCCTCCCCTGCTTTGCCAGTCCCAGAGCACAGGTGCTGCTGCCACCCTGCACAGGCCGAGCAGTGAGATCCAGCAAGGCCCTGCTGCCTGCCCAGAGTCCTCAGGGGTGCAACCTCCAGAACACTTGCATTTTCCCCTGGCCTCAGAAGCAGCCAGGGCCATAGCCCCAAGGCCAGTACTGGCTTGGGGTGAGGTGTGGCTGCAATGGAGGCTGGCAGAAGCCTGTGTTTCCTGGGACTCTGATGTCCCAACATCAGGGTAATGACACGCTACATAAAGTGGTCAGCTTTGACATTGAGTCAGCCAAGTTCCCAGCCTGCAACCCATGGGATTATCTCAGCAACCCTGTGAGTTAGCCCCATGTCAAGAAGGAAACTGAGGCTTCCATCCCTGGCCTGTAGGCTCTCCCCCACCCCCACAGTGCCAGATGCCAGCAGGGGCCACCCTGAGCACAAAGCCACTCAGGCAGCCGTTCCTCCTCCTGGGGCCCTTGCCCCGTAGAACTGGAAACCCACTGGGCCAGATGGCGTCTCTCCTTCCTAATATCAACCCTCCCTTCCTGCTCCCCCAACCTGACAGGCCCTGGGGAGCCCAGAGTGACAATCCTGCAGCTGGTCATAGGAGCAGGAGCCAAGGAGCAGGGAGGCAACCCCCCATCGCCTCACCTGACCTCACCTCCCTCCTCTGCATTCTGAAGCTAGTGGCTGTCATTTCTAGTTGTTGCCAGGTCATACATTAAGTGTCGCTGGACCTCCGCATGCCCTTAACAGCTCCCACAGAGGGCAGAGGCCAGGCCAGGGTGCTACGAGAGCTGCCTTCCCTCTCCCAGCTCCTGTGTTTCTGTCTGAGGTTCTGGATAGTGTTCTGGGGGTACCTCTACAGTCCCCAGGGGTGCTAGCTGGGGCCACTTTGTCTGGGCAGGGATCCCTTGAAGGCCCCTTTCCTCTGGGATGCAGGGGGCCCTAGCAGCAGGAGCCCTGGACACTGACAAGCCCCAGGCAGTAAACCATCTCAGGAACCTCCCTTTCCTATGATCAGGCAAGCACAGCTGATCACAGCTTCCCTACTCTCTGGGCTGCTGGGGAACGCATGTGCAGATGCGGCAGGCCTGCAGTCTGCACCTGGCCCACCAAGGGCACACGTGGCATGGCTCGGCCTCACCTGGACTCCTCTCTACCTGTGCCCAGGTGTTCAACGAAGATGGGACGGTGCGGTACTTCATCGATGCCAGCCAGGAGGACCATAGGAGCTGGATGACCTACATCAAGTGCGCCCGGAACGAGCAGGAGCAAAACCTGGAGGTGGTCCAGATTGGCACCAGCATCTTCTACAAGGCCATTGAGGTGTGTGTGTGTGTGTGTGTGTGTGTGTGTGTGTGTGTGTACATGTATGATGTATAGGGGCTGGTAGGGGTCCCTGTGGGAAGCGGGTAGCACAGAAGGTGGAGGGACCCTGGCACCTGCCCAGCTGGCTGTACCCAGGCTGCAGCCCTGGGGCTCCTGCCTCGCGGTCTCCACAGCCCTCCCTGTAAGGGCAGCTTTCCGCCGCAGATGGGAAAGATGGGCACTTTAACTTTGGGCCATGAGTGTCATGAACCTCTCCATAGTGACTTCCTGGAGGTTGGCTGCGGGTGTGCTGCAGTTCAGAGGTCAGAATTATTTCAGAGAGTGACATGAGGAGCAGAAGGCCCAGCGGGGAATGTGTCTGGGTGGGAGAGGGGCTGGTCTCAGGGATCAGTTGTGATGCGCTGTGGCCAGGAGTCCCTGGGATGCCTGCTATGCGCTAACAGTTTGCTCTCCAGACACTGTGAGAAGGATTCTGGGATGACCCACAGTGCACAGCCATGGAAATGGGGTCTCCCTCAGTAGCAGACAGAGCACAGGGCTCCTGCCAGCCCTCTGGGGGTGTCAGTGTGGGAAGCTATGTCGTGAGCCTCCTCAGAGGAGCGAAGACAGGGTCAGGGCAGGGGTGTAGGTGCCACTCCTGTTGTGCTTGGGGCTGAGGTGGATGGGGATGTCGCCAAGCAGGAGGAGCTGTGGTGGCTGAGGTAGCCACATCACGGGCACTGTTGCTGCACAGTGTTCCTTGGCAGGACATGGGCTCTGCTGGCCTGGGGGTGTGAGTGCTGTGGAGGGTGACAGCTGTCCCACCACACTTGTCTGGACCTCATCGTCTGCTCCTGCATGGGTGGAGGCTCAACTGCAGTTGTGAGTGGCCTGCAGAAGCCCCCTTGGGACCACAGAGAAGGGCTTCGTTTTAGCCCCACTCCATTTGGTGGCTGGGGCTTGGAGCCTCGAGCTCTTTCTAAGATGTTCCAGGTTGCCCAGGCCCAGCAGCTGGGGGACTAGGGTCCCATTGTCTCTAAATAGCCAGGCCTCTGGGCTGCGCCCCCAGGGAGGAGGGCTTTGGCCTGAGCTGGGGTGGCAAGGCACAGAGTCCCAGCTAAGGGGCGGCCCTGCAGGAGCAGGAGGTTGGCTGAGGGGGGGCGAGCAGGTCCTCCCTGGAGCCCACGATGCTAGGAGAGCCAGATGGGCTCACGGTAGGACAGGAGTCTTCGGTGACCCTTGGGCTGAGCCAGCATGCCTAGTGTCCAGTGCAGCTGAAGGCATTTTTATCAGAGTGCACCCTCCTGGGTCCACACACACATGCATACACACACACACCCATGCAAGCATACACACACACACACACACACATACACACACTATCATATTCATGCACTCCTTCCAGCCCCAACAGAGGTGCATGTACATCCACGCTCCACATAGACATGTGTGTGTATATACGTACATGCACATAGGAGACAGGCCAGATGCCTGTGTGCATAGGGTCCTCCGTCTCATCTGCCTGCACTCATCACACTTCTAGAAGGCCATACAGGACAGAGCACAGGAGCAGACATTTATGTAGAAATGCAGAATCATCTGGGCATTGGGCTGGTGAGATGGCTCAGTGGTCTAAAGCACCTACTTAGAACAAGCTTAGCAAAGCACTGGGACAGGGGTTCAATCCCCCAGCACCACATGGTGGACTGAGCTGGACACACACACACACACACACACACACACACACACACATAAATAAAAATAAAGAGGATGAGAAGATTAAAAAAAAAAAAAAAAAAAAAAGAGCGGCAGATGAAAGAAGATGCACACTTACAAATCCAGCACTTGGG